ATCAGAAACATTTTGAATATTTTTAGAGAAGATGAGTCAGAGGAACAAAAAAGGCTCTTAATATTCCTGTTATCTGCAACATGGCAAAATGAATTTATGACCAGCTCACTGGAATGCAGGGGGAAGGTTTTAAAGTATTGCATAAGACACAGGAAATGGAAATGAATAGTACAGCACCTCCGCGGTGTCTCACTTCAGATGCGTAAAACAGCACCGGTGTTTCTCTCCTGCTTTTCCTTGTCTCTCTGTGTATGTGGTGGGTTTTCCTGACATGAGAAGTCTGCCCTCACTTCTCCAACTCAGGGATCAGCATTTTCAATGGGTCCCTGGTAGCTAGCAGTCCCATTGACCACACTTAAGATTCTGGGTGGGGAGCCTGGGAGCTCTCAGTACTCTGTCCTTGCTGACCAACCTGGACCACTTGCCATGGCCGACTGCCTTATTTTCCCCCAAACATGGTGTATGCCCCCCACCACTTCTGTACTTTGCTCTGACTTTTTGCTTGCTTATCATTGGCCCTACACTTGCTCAAGTCTTTCTGCCAATGGCATGCTGTGGGCTAGAGAACATTTGGGGGCTCAAAAATATGAGACATGCTCCCCAGATGGCACAGCAGCGTGTCCAAGATTAAGAGTCACAGGACTTTAGTTTGAAAAGTGGGACAGCACTACCTGAATCTCAATTTTCTCATCAGTAAAGGGGCAGTCACTGTCTGCCTGATTGAATTATACGTGTTACTAAAATCAGAAATGTGTCTGTCATCATCAGCCCAGCCACACCTCTGAGCCACAGTCCAGCAAACATGGAGCCCTCGGGCAACAGCTCAGGTGCGGAGATTTAAAGCAGCCTGAGAGCCACTGGAAGGGTTAAGGGGTAAGGAAGATGCTCCATGCCCCTGAGTCTCCAGGGGCAGCGCTGCCCACCCCTTTGTCTCTTCTTGACCTTTGCCATTAAGGGAAATCAGAAGCAGAGGCTGAGAAGGATTGATGGGGTGGGCTGAGAGAGAAGGCAGGAGAGGGCTGGCAGAGGAGGCCATTCCCAATACCCCTGTGGGGCGACCCTGGCTGCTCCAGCTTGAGAACTCACCAGACCTAGGCCCAAGATGGCAATGGCCTGAAGTGGGGTGGAAAGCTGTGGCTCCTTAGACAAGACCTTGCTCTAAATGGGGTCAAACTGACACCGAAGGCTGCTGCTGAGTCCTTGACATACTATTTTTAAATAAAATTCAGGCTGAAAAAGGAAACAGATGTTTGTCTAATCCAAATTAGAGACCAGAAAAAACCAAGGCTGGTCATGAGCTCACAGACAGACACTTGCAAGCGAGCAAGCTCTCTGATGAAACCATTTCCATCTTGTTGACAAACACATGTTGCAAGACAGGAAATCACCCTCCTCAGTGCCTATTTTATCTCCGTTTAATTGCTGTTTGATAATAAATTACAACCGAGTCCATTAATTAAGCTAACAATGTCTGTGGAACACCAATTCCTTCTTCTGGGAGTTGCCTTGTTACAGGAGCCTCAATCCAGTCCCTGGCAGCCCACAGCACTTTATGAAGCAATTTAAAAAGATGCCAAGGATGGTGAGTGGTGGGGAATGACGCCTAGCATAGAGGGAGTGGTTTAGGAGGAAGAGAAGAAATCTTGATGAGCGAGGGGAGGGGCCACCTGGCAGCTGGAAAGCAGTACCAAGAGTGCACTCTAATTCTGAACATGTAGTAGAACAAAAAACAACATTAGATTTATGTTTAAAAATTCAGCCGATGGAAGACAACCATGGCTGACTTATAGGTATGTGTCCTAGAACTGGAGGGAGCAATGAACTGCCTAATTTGGTCTGCCACTCCGTAATCAGCTATGTGGCAGGGGAATGCATTTGGGAAAGTTCTCATGCAGCCGGAAGTGCTGAAACATAAATTCCAGTTATTTCCAGCAAAGGCCTGGGTCCTGGGCTGTGAACGCTGCCAAGCTCCTAGCAGGACAGGGGAACTTGGTGCCTGGCTCCTGTCTGGGCAGGGAGTAAACAAGTAGCCATCATCAGGGTGAAAACTCTCGATAAATCTTGTTGTCTGGGAGATGGGTCACCTGGGCA